GTTTGTTTTCATTAATTCCAAGGTATTCTATATACTTTCTTTATTTGTTTTGAAAATTCACTGTCGCTCGCACTGATAAACGTATATAGTATGCATTCAATTTCCAGTACAACAGAAGTAGGGCGTCAGACTTTGTACAAAATTCAAATGGAGGCAAGTTTATATTAATAATAATAATGCATATTTCTAACAGAAATGATTCAGTGCTTTAAAAGGCAGTGACGTCCAGATGGTAGAATGAAAAAAATGAAATAAAATTTCAAGTAAATGGTAAATACTGATCTAGTTAGGATTATTGTATAAATCTATCATTACTGACTGTCACCTTAAATCAAGAAAGAATTTTGACAAAAGCGTTAATATGTCGGGTTTTTTCTTTTCCATAATCTACTACGTGACTAACGCAGTAGCCACTATAAATAGGAGAAGACAATTCATTTAACGCTGTCACGTGTCAAAACAGTGGTCCGGAAAATCCCGGTATCCGGTATGCCCGGGATCGTTTATCAATTTTCGTCATTGAGTGGGCCCCTATCATATTTGAAGCTAAATGTTAAATCGATGAATTGGTCATCATATATATGAAATAATTAATCAATTACAATTTTTAGTGCCATGAATTACTACAAATATAAAAACGAAAACAGTTATGGTTATCCCTACATGCTTGATAAAATCCCGGATTCCATGCGTTCCGGGCACAGGTCGAGATATTGTACTGTACGATCACGTGATACTAGAAAAAAACCCGGATGAAAGGATTCCGTGGTAAAATAAAAGAAGGTATTTCCCGATGGTGGAAACGCGAACTGTTTGTTTTCAGAGCAATAGTGTTAAAATATAAACAGTTTGAAGTGTCATTTCAATTTCTTTCAACTATATAATGATTTTGAGGGGGGATTTTGAAATATTAGCAAGACAGCAGTTTTTCTGCTATCTTCTGGAAGTCAGCTGCTTTAAATATTTTACTGAGGATATTGAAACTCTACTGCTTACACCCGATTTATTGATTAAGTTGGATATAATTACATTTTGCAAGGCTCTGGCGCGTATGATATCATTTAATAAAAAAACAACAGTTTACAATCGAAACTAACTTTGTTTTACATTAACGCACTGAAGCGTTAACATTTAAGAATGTGTCTGTAGAACGGATATTTAATAAAATCGATTTATTTAAGGTGTTTCAATTGATCATTTTACGAAATTTGTCTGCATAAAGTGACGCAAACGACACTAAGTACAATCCATGCACGCCTATTACTGTCACGTATTATCCAAAACTATACGTATTTAAATCTGACCCCATCCGCCAAAATGTAACATTTTACTTCTGTTACTTTTTGCAATAAGAACAGTTACAGTGATTTAATATTTTAAATGGAAGTCAAAATGACTTCAAACCAAGTGCCCCTCACCGCTGTTGGTTCGAATCCCGACAGGGACTTTGGATTCTTTCATTTGAGGAAGCTATCAAGCAAGCATACGGAACGTCGAATGTTCTACCCGGGTGCCCGTTCGTGCCTGAATTAATGCACGGAGGCGCATTTACGGTCTTCCTCCACCAGGAGCGGGAACGTCGCCATATGAAGTTTATTGTGTCGGTGTGACATAAAACCGAATTGAAACAAAAACAATAAAGATCATCAACAGTGTATCGGCTTAAATTCCTTACCATTGATTAATATATGTGATTCATGAAGCAGTGTTTCTTATTCTTCTTTAAGCAGCTTATGCTATATTTAAAGTTCCGTTCCAAATACTGCATTGTTAGAATAAACCGATTAACTATTCAAATTAAATGTGACATTCGGCTTATTTTCATTGTCAACGTTATTTATTATTTCATAACCATGGCGCCCTTTGCAAAACGACGCGACATTATTTCCTTGAATCTAATGCGTTTATGTTACATGCAACAAAATTATATCTTCATGTTTGTGAAAGACCTTATTGTAATGCCGATTCGGACACAGAGGTTATACTTGAAATCGGAGGTATTTTTCAAACATGGTTGCAAATTTAGTAACATGTCTTTCTTTTGTATCAAACTGCTATGATTTCACTTTCATGATGTCAAAGTCACTTATAATAAAACAAGTCCCGCATCCAACTCGTAAGAAAACAAAAATCCTACGGGACAAAGCTTAAACAAATATATTGATTTATAAATGTGTAGCTATAATCATCGCAATCACCAAACAACAACGTTTGTTTCCACTTATTATAATGACCATTATTATTAAACGGAATAACAGCATAATCAACAATGTGATCATCATTGTTGTCATCATCATCTCAATAAGTGTAGTTGCTCACCATTTCTTAAATTATCAGAAATATTTTACTATAATTAGGAGCACTGTCATTATGAGAAGCAGCAGCAAGATCCTAGGAATACAGTTCTGCAACTTTACTCACCATCATTCATCTTTTCGCCCATTGTAAGTGTAAGCATTGCTGTATTTTAACACACTCCTTGCACTTGAAATCTGTCCTTTCCTTTTCCTATCCTATAGGCACAGCTAATTGACAATTCTCATGCATACGTGATACAATCACAATCACTGTCCTTTGGCTGGCAAACGTCTCTATGTTCATGACCTGCACTCTAATCAAGTACCCTTTGAATACCATTTAGCAGCTCTACTGACAAAGCTATTAGCTATAGGTGCATTTAATATTAGTGACTGTTTTAACATGACACTATCAACAAACTTTTAAAAAACGTAATGATCCAGTAGGCTGTATCAGTTTAAAGGATATTATTCACAGCGATATAAGGCTCAAACCTCTAACGGAATGAAAATGATAGGAAAAGGCCCGCGTGAAATGGTTTCTTTTTGGCCCGGCAAATGGCTCTTTAATGTACACAATGTCTAAGAAAGTTTGTTAAAATTATAAACTAGAGCGAACCGTTTATAAACCTTTTGCAGATTTGATTTTGTACTAGTTTGGAGGGTCTTCTTTTTGGTTGGGAAAGGGCTTTCGGCCTTATATTGTGTAACGAACACCTTCCAAACTAGTACAAAATCGAATCTGCAAAGGAATCAACCACATTGTTTATAAACGGTTCGATCTAGAACATTGTTTTTTACGTAGATATCTAAGACTTTATATATTGAAAGAACTAATTGCCTGTCCAACAAGCGTCAACTATACGCCGGGCCTCTTTCTATATCTATCCTTCCGTTAAGCCTCATATCCTTATATTACTGTGATGAAGGCCATGCAAAGTGAAACATTCTACCATATCATTAGATTATTTTAAGTACGTAGCGTTTATTTAACAATGGCTAATTGTGCACGATGTCAATTCCTGTAAGGTCGTGATCTTAGGCGTATTTTTGTCACCAACCATTTAATTACATTTTAACAAGTTGTAAGACAACTGATTTTGCTTAATTGGAATAATGTTTTTCTCATTTTCATAAGGGTTTTTGTCGCAAATTTATACAACTTATATACAGAAAAATCTAGGGTCCAGGGCAGCGTTTTACTAACGTACTTACGCCTAAGATTTGCGTAAGTTTTTACTTACGTACGATTTTTTTACGTAAAGCACTCATTCTCACTTAAGTACGACATTTCATAAATTCTAGAACTGAAAAATGAACTTTCTTGAATATTAAAATTATATTCCATTCCAAAATTATAAGTATCTCGACATCTTAATTTTAAAATATTACCAGTACAGATGTCCTACATCTTTCCCTATGACAGGTTTTCTAGATAGAACCAGAAAATAAATTTCGCCATTTTCGAGACAATGGTCCTTAAATGTGTGCATATGGTATGGCGATTTTCTTTTGTCTCTTAATATAAACTTTCTATCATCTATTTATATGAACATCTGGAAATGAGAATCAATCATTGAACTGACAAAAAATACATCTTTTTAAAAATAACTCATGGAAATGCATTTCATACCGAATATGCTTAAATCTCATTTTCAAAATGAATAACCTTACAAAATCCACAGATCCATACAATGGACGAGTAAGAAAATATGAAAATTACTGACGAATTCTTGAAAGTACCTACTTACTTATTATTCAATTGTTAAATGTGAAATAATTTATGTCATCTCATATATTGACAATTTATTAAGGACTCGTAAATGATTTTTCAATTGTCCCGTAAGTGACCCAGTCTCCAGATGCTATAGATTGACAGAAGAAATGTTAATACTTTGAATTATATATTTATAATGATTTACGATTAACTTATATTTATTTATGAAATGGACCAGATACTCCTTTGGCAAAGCTGGGCCATATTAACAGTATTTAAACAATTGAACTGAAAGTATTCAAAAAATGAGTAAAAGATCGTATAAATGGTCTTAGAAGTTCAACAAAATTGCTAGATTTGCATATAAATCCAAGTTAGTGAAAACGAAAACAATAGTACGAATCAAAACAAATAATTTTTCCCATAGAAATATCACTTTCATTGAGAAATCACTGTTTTATAATTTTCTTTTGCTCTGGTCATTAACGGCCCAGATAGCAGACAGTAGTTGGCCCAACGTTGGGCCAATTACATTTGCTTTGTTGGCCCAACACATAATGCCAACGTTGGCCCAATGTCAATTTGCTAATTGGGGCAACGTTGGGCCAACGGTTGGTATATGGTTGGCCCAACGACTGCTTTCCTACTCTTATCGTTGGCCCTCCATTGGCCCAATGACTGGTTTTCCTTCCTATCGTTGGCCCTCTGTTGGCCCAACAACTGATTTCCCTTCTTATTGTTGGCCCCCCGTTGGCCCACTGACTGGTTTCCTATAATAAACATTGGCCCTTCGTTGGCCCAATGCCTTATTTTCTACTATCTAAGTTGGCTCTCAGTTGGCCTATCACTTTGTTTCCTTCTCTTATTGTTGGCCCTCCATTGGCCCAATTACTTGTTTCTTACTACTAACGCCCTCAGATGACAAGACCAAAAACAGCATGTCTCCTAGAATTCAGAGAGACCGTAAAATAAAAGAACATAAAATATTCTAATTACTACAATTTATTTCTAAATGTTGTTCACATATCATTTTCATTTTCTTCTCTTTGTTGTTGCAACTTTTTAGCCAGTCTCTTCCTCCGCCCGCCTCCCCTATCCTTGGCATATCTTAGCCCCTCCTTCATTGTCTTCTCGATTTCATTATGAGTAGACCTCTGTCTACTTCCTCTTACAGCATCTGAAATTTATACAGTTTACTGATTTTATTTAAATATACACTATTAATTAGAATTTACTAGTTTAAAGGCAAATAAAACTGAAAAACTGCAAACAGAGCTAAGACTTTGATAGACTTAAGAAATATTTTAAATTACAAGTCAATAGATTTAATAGTAACAGAGATATTTGACATAATTAAAAATTTTAGCCTAAAATTTTCAAGTTAAAAGGAGGCATGATTCTGTCAAAATGCAAATAGAGTCATGATTATCATTTACAACACAAGAGTCATATCTTACACCCACGGTGTAAAATAATTTTTTAGCACCGGTGAAATCAACTTTGAAAAAGTAAAAATACAAACCTAATATGACTGTTTTAAGTCTAAGTTTTTCGAATGGTTTTTCGAGCCTTTTCCAACCCAGTTGTATTCTAGGGCAACTTCCTAAGACAAAGTGTGAGACATAACACTGCGAACATTGCTCCTCCAATTAGACATAAATTTGCTGTCTGAAATGAAATAAAAACAATTTTGCAGTCGGGTAAAGTAATTTGTGTTTAATGCGAAGTTACACTTTAAATTAAATTTACACAAAGTTTCGTATACCACTACCAAACATATTAATATAAATTACCTATTTATTACTCAGAGCAGATTGTATGAGCTTAACAGTGCTAATTGTAGTTTGTCAGTTTGTACTAACTTGCAAACTTATCAAAGATTGTTTGCAGTTATCACAATAAATTCAGATGTAAAATTATGCACATATCATATTTTAATATAATTAAATGGTTTTAATTTCATTACAAAAATCAAATTCATTCTGGCTTGTTTACCTGAAAACATCAAAGTATTTTCCATTACCAATCCGCCATTTTGTATTAATCACATGACCTGGTCACGTGGATAGTATAACAGGTTTTAAAACACTAATTCCGTGCAGGTTTAAATACATTAATATATTAGAAGGGTTTATTTTAAAGATTAAAGTAAAAAACTCTAGATCTACTTACATTTTTCAGTGTTGAGAAATTGCAGTCTAATTCAAATTTATTTAAATATATCTGTAAACACGTCCACGCAGCTCGAAATCAAGGGAGGGAACGGATGGGTAGTGCCAAAATGATCCTATTTCCATTCATTGATTACATAACCAGAGGTTAATTAGAGTTTAGAGTGGAAGATTCCGGAGGTTTATTGTAAACATTTAGGATGGTTAATCTGTTTCAGCACATGTATAATTGCCTTAGATTATACATCAGATCTTCAAGATTTCTATAGATCTATATAGATACATCCCCTACTACTGCATAGCCTGGGCTTTGGTCATTTCTAGACTCACAAAGTAATTATTTCTTACGTACATTTCTGATTTAATTTATATGAGTATTTCTTGAATGTGACAATATTGAAACATGGCTTCAAAAAAAACTTTATAAACTTAAGTCTTTACTCATTGTAGTGTACTGTTTATATACAGTAAAATATCTACATGCATATATGTGTTTAAAAAAATTGGGTCAGGTGCAGTAATATATTTGACGAAAATGTATCGTTGGTCAAACGTTGGCCCAACATCTGTTTTAAAGTACATATTTATCGCTATTGGGCCAATGCAGAAATGTCGCTGGCGTTAACTTATGGTTGGTTCGACGTTGGGCCAACAACTGCATTTATAGTACATGTTAATTAGTGTTGGGCCAACCATGGCCCAACAACGATTTTCCTTTGACGATTTTCCGTGGTTGGCCCAACCACTGCATGTTTACAGGGGGGACAAATCAATCTTATTACTATTATCTTATAATTGAACTGCAAAACAATGTACAGTGTGTTTGTTTAAACAGATATTCAGTATCTAGATAAACTAAAATATTTTATATCAAGATGCATGAAAAGTCATATTCCATTGAACTAAAACATCTCTGAAAAGGTTATAAAGTTTTCAGAATGTATTTATTTAAGGACAAAACTAGGTAGTTCTCACCATATCTGCTCCAAAGAACCTTCTATCTTACAATTAATACAAGATACTCCAATATTATTGCGTTTACATCGATAAGCGTGGACTCAAAATTTCCTATTACTCGAATGAATATTCCAAAATTAATTTTACCATTTACGGGACAGTTCAGCCAGATACGGGACACGCCTGTTTTCATGTTTACTTCATTTTTGTGATTGAAGTATAAGTTTAAATGTATTCGTTTATGAAAGTAAGTATCCATTGAACTCTATAATAGTCAAAACGTCTGAATACCAATTACAATATCAAAATTATGATTTTTAGAAGCTATCTGCAAGTGAAAAACACATTTCAGATGCGTATTTTTAAAAACATGGATACTTCTTTGTTTTCGTGGAAGAATACCATTCCAAAAATAACAACGTCCATTTACAAGTTGAAATAATTCAACAAATCAAGCAGAATAAATTACAAGAGAAGGTGAAAGAGGGTAAGTCCCGTAAATGATAGGCTCGTAAATGTTGAAAATTTGTTTTACAAGAGAATTTTATGAGAAATTGTTGAATGGTTTACATGAATGACAGAATATAAGCAAGACAAATATCCGCTCTAGATATCTGAAGTATTATAACATTGAAATTATTGAAAATATATTGTAAAACGCATGGTATTGATGAGCCTCGTAAATGATTTTGTAAAAATTACGCTTGTAAAATCCAAATTAACGTGAAATCCTTAACAAAATGGTTGCACAGATACTCTTAATCTTCATATTTTATGTTAACTATATTACTGTAGACTTAATATTGCTATTGAAATAACCATTAATACGTTACCATGTATGATTAACATTGTTTTGCAATTAAGACTCGTAAATGATTTCGACTTTGAAGACAAGCAATTCAAATTTGATTTTGAGAAAATTAATTTTCGTAATATCAAAAACAGTTTTATATGTCAAAATCTGCAATAGAATAACGAAAATAAGCTGTGTTTACTGTTAACCACGACTTTTTGTACGAAGATACGTGCAATGAAACATACTTCGATTTAGTTGAAGACATGCTGCTTTTCGTACCCCTTCCTTGCAAAAGCAATTGTCACTAGCAAAATCAAACCAAAAGACTATTAAACTTGCGCTGAAATTAAATCTTTGATGCAGTACCAATTGTTAAAACATTTTACAGGAATGATCGGGCTTATATATCTCCACAAATTTTCATAGAACATTGAAGACATGGAATGTCGTACTTAAGTGAGAATGAGTGAAAGGCGTTTCACTAAAAAAATGCGTAAGTACAAATTTCGTAAGTTTTTACGTAAAGTTACGCTCAAATTTTCCTGACTTAAAATTTACGTAAATATGGCCGACATTTTGTTAGGAAGAACGCGGCGAAGAAGAACGGCGAGAATTTTTAGGGAGAGACGGAATTGGCTTGAAATTTTGACAGAGAAGGAGGTTCGGGAGAAGTACCGACTAAGTAAGGAAAGAATAGCATGGATATATGACCTTATTAAGCACGACATTCAGCCAGAGACAAGGAGGAGTCATGCGATTAGCCCGATGACAAAAGTAAATTGTGCCTAGATCTATCTAAATAATATTCTATTAAAATAATACTAGAATTTTACATGTCGGTGTTCATTGTCTACGGTGTCCGTGAAAGTAGAAACGTTTCCCCATCACCACGAGATTACTCCCCTTTATTTATTGTCAACTGACCTTGACATTTACTTCATAATGAACGACATCTTTCTACTAAAACTCAGTAGATATTTAACATATTTTATTAGTATTGTATAGGGTAGCAAGTAAAAGAATATGGAAAGGGAAGTATTTTCTGTAGCTACCGTATTTTAAGAGTATATTTTTGTAAAAACATAGTAATGTATTGATGCCTGTCATTATAAATAATGACTCATGTTTTTTTCGTACCACAATAATCTCGCGCCATGTGCAATGCATGACTTATGCAGCATGTGCAGATTAACATTAATTCTCTTTCTTTCTAGAAAAAAAAACACTAATGTAAGCTACTGGTCGTAGACCATCAACCGGACACTTTTGGAACATTTTTCCGTACAGATTTCATAATTTTTTACCTAGAGACCAAAAAATTTTGGAAGTGGCTAGCCGTACGGGCCCGTACGGCTAGCCAAAAGTTCTAGCCGTACGTGAGTCACGTACGACTAGCCTGGACACACTGTATTGGCTAGCCGTACGGCACTTTTCAAAATTATATGGAAGTCGAAAATGCATATGTTATTTTTGTGTATTTAAACGACGATTTTAATCAAATCTCCGCATTTGTCCTAGTGTGTTCACTTTAATAAAGATGCTCCGCAAATTTGCAAAAAAAGAATGAATTCGAGTAAGCGTTGTATAATCTATCTTAATAAAATTAAGTGTCTTATAGTTGCATGTTATAACGTCCTTAATTTTCATGCTTATGATTTGTATGAAAGATGAATTGTTACCGTCGGTATTTGACGCAATTATCATGCAGAGACCGACAACAATTATTTTCGGTGTGTTTTTTTTTTTTTGTTTTTTTTTGTTTTTTTTTGTTTTTTTCTATCAATTTAAAAATTAAATTTAATGAAACAAAAAAGGATTATTATCAAAATTTTGTTAACTATTTCAATTGATGTTATTTAATTGCAACAAAACGCTATTTTTTCTCGACGTCTTGAGATGACAAAGTACGTACATTCTTTACTGTAGCTAACACGTCGATTAATCTCTAAAAAGTAAACATTCTTGACTAAAATCCTCGCTTAAAGTCATAATTAACATATGCACTTTCGCCTTCCATATATTTTTGAAATGTGCCGTACGGCTAGCCAATACAGTGTGTCCTGGCTAGTCGTACGTGACTCACGTACGGCTAGAACTTTTGGCTAGCCGTACGGGCCCGTACGGCTAGCCACTTCCAAAAATTTTACATAGTTCAGCTAGGTTCTTCTCCTAACTAACAAACTAGTTTGTTTATTTCTGATTTTATTGACATTTATATCTGAGGCTCAACAAGGAGGGTATCAAAATTACCTAAATTGTCTACACTACAGTACCATGTGTCCGGACAGTTATGTACATGATGTGATTTAATTCAGATAAAAGCTTGGGTGTTTTGATTTTTGATTTGTAACATGATATACAATATGTCGGCAACAAATGCTGAAGTTTTGGATATTCTATTATTCACTCTGCAAATTATTATAGCTGGTATATGAGGTCAGGCATTGCTTTCTTGACCCCCGAATTTCAACGTCAACATTCTTGAAATAGACATTAAAATATTACCATTTAAGGAGGTTGAAATAAATTTATTCACTTAATTTTAAAAGAAACATGCACTTATTGTTGATAAAAAAGTGACTGACAACCACTGAACAAAGAAAATACTAAATTAAGCATTTTCGGGGCCGTCCGGGTTTGGTGGTTGTCCAGTTTTGGTGGTCCCCAACCAGTAGCTGAAGCCTTTGATAAATAAGTGACCTCTCATTTCTAATTCATTTACTGTACATAGAATCTGTCAGTCTATGTAAGAAATATTAGAATTAAAATTAAATTTAGAAATTAAAATTAGTACATCTGTATTGTTTAGGTCTGTCATAAAAAATAGGTCGAGTAAAGATGTGCCAAGATTCTATAGAACCAAGATGACACAAAGGCTGAATTAATTTTAAGGTCAAGCTTATTCAGGATATAAAAGTATGATGTTGTTTGAGAATTTTTTCTTTGCCCAGGCTTGAGCAACATAACCTATAACAAGCATGTAATGTCTGATATATTGGACTAGGGTCAAGCTCAATTTGAGTCCTGTTTATTATTCAAAACACTTTACTTGATTACGACCATCCAAGCACAAACTTGGTTATGAACATTACTTTTGTTATACAAAGAGGATATTGAACGAGTGTAAGTTTAGTACTGAATTTATTGAACGAGTTGAATAAAAATTTATAATACCAACCTCTGTATAGCATAATAATATCTTATTCAACAAGTTCAATATATTCAGTAATGACCTTACACAAATTTGTTATACTATTTAACACTTTAAATACCAAAAATTGTTTTAAATAATTACTATTATTTTAAAGTGCAAAAGAACCATTTACATTGATGCCCTGACATTTAGCGCGACTCAACTCTATGTTTGTATAATGCAAATGATGTCACATAAAAATATATGCATGGCCCTGCAATACCATTTTACGGAGTCGCAAAGTCGGCACAGGAATGTGTCATGTGATAAGGTAATTTATAAAAGAAAGAATACTTTATTACATTTGATTATGAAAACTTCCACCTTTACCTTGCTGGAAATCAAATAAATATTAGTGACCTTGTTATAAGAAAGGTGTGCACTCAACTGTATCACACCTAGTATTTAGTTTGACTTTGTATTATTTTCAGTTATTGATAACACTACAGTTCCTTGCTAAAGGAGAGTTTTATAGTGAGGGAGGATTGACACATGGTGTGTCGAAAAGTTCAGTGTGCCGGTGCATTTGGCAGGTATTGTTGTTTTTGTTGCTGTTTTTTTGGTTGGCTGTAACGTTGTATCAACAATTTTAGGGTCAAAGTATGATGACATCCCGATCTTTACTTGTGGAGGAAGACCTCATCACATGAAGTCACCCTTTGCATAATTTCAGGCACATATTAAAATAACCGCAAACGTTATCATTATGTTACCTTATATTAATCTGTTGACCATGAACTTGGTTGTCACTAAGTTTTCAAAAAAGTTGGTTTTTAATAAGAGGTGGTCATTTTCCTTTGCATCAAATATGACAAAGTGGTTTGAAAAATGGGTGGTATTATAGTTTCCCCCCTGGCAGGCGGGCTGGGTGGGCCGCGTCTAACATTTGTGAATGACAAATCTGCTAGGATACCCTGTCTTATATATTTATAATGAGAATTCAACACTATATAAGGACACATTTATTGTCTTGCTATTGAGTTAATGTTTAAAAATAATGTTCAGTAAAATTGTAAATGAATCCTGTATGGAAAAGTATGCAAAGCCCTTAACAGTTATGTTGATATTATGTTTCATTAATTCTGACTCAAAAAGAAAAAAATCAAAGTATTATCAAACATTGCTGTTGTAATTAAGTTCAAGTTAAATTTTTCAATGTAACATGTCAACATGAAGCAGAAATAGTTTTACACAAAAAAATATCATTATTTATCCTATAAAATTAATGTTGATACTAAATCAAACTGAAATCTTAAAACATAATGCCTTCTAGATTTCTTTAATAAGTGTATCTAAATAATACCTTTTTTATCATTTTAATCAATGCTTGAATTGAAATGCATATGGAAAATCCATATAAAAAAAAAAAACATAAATGAATCACAGCTTCAAAAAATTTATATTATAGCATGCTTAATTATGTGAAAAATGTTATTTCATTTAAATGATGTATATTTTGAAATATTTTAAAAACAGGTGATAGCTGCTTTAGACCAGAGACTAGACAATATCAAATTCGCCATGAGTCCTGATGAACTTGCTTTAATTAAGCAAAAATTCTACAAAATTGCACGCATACCAAACTGTATTGGTGCAATTGACTGCACACTAATTCCAATCCTTTCTCCAAAAGAAAGAGAAGATGTATACGTGTGCAGAAAAGGCTACCATGCCATCAATGTACAGGCTGTGGTTGATACCAATATGAAGTAAGAAAAAGCTTTTTTTTAATTTATTAAAATGTTCAATGATATTTTCAATATATGTCAAAATCACAGGGGGCCCACACAGTGTTTGGATGGTATATACTGCTTGATAGTGACCTTAAAAACCTGCAAACTTGTTGATTATTAATTTTTGGTTCATTACTGTATTCAAATAATAAAATATATATATAGAATACAAAATTCATTTATATAACTTTCAAGGGACTCTACAGAGTTTATCTTTTTTGCCCCAACCAAAATGTTGGGGAGCATCCTGTGATTGGGTTAATCTGTACATATGTACACCCTATTGTCATAGTCGGCATGACAACTTGAGAAATAGTAATCCATGGTTGATGTAACTAGCTAGGGACAATGCACAAAATCAGTAGATGACTCCTATTAATTTTGAGGTCAAAAGTCAACTTCAGAGTGACACCTAATGAAAAAAATTTCATCTATGTAGGATTCTCAAATTTTATGTATTAGCTTTCATTATGCTCCCCGAAAAATTTCGGGGGAGCATATAGTCGGCGCCTTGTCCTTCTGTCCGTCCGAGCAAACATTTTGGGTATATGAGCTAACTAACAGTACACTGGAACAAAAGAGAACAAAGGACTTCATTCCGTAAATAATAGATAGCTCATAAGGAAACAATAGTTAGCCCACAAGGAAACAAAAGAAAAGAACAATAGAAGTAGCTCATAAACCTGAAAAATTGGTATGTCCGTCCGTCTGTCCGTTTTCTTGTCCGGAGCATAACTTGAAAACCCTTGGAGATAATTTGTTTAAACTTCATACAGTGGTAGAGGGCAGTAAGGGGGAGTGCAGTGTCAAAGAACCATAACTCTATTTTGCCCGGTTTTTGAATCATCTTCTCTTATAGAAAAATCTTGTCCGGGGCATAACTCTAAAACTATAAGAGATATCAACATGAAACTTTGTAGGTAGATGTATCTCAATGGGTAGATGTGCAGTGCACGAGAATCATAACTTTGCCTTGCCTAATTCTGGAGTTATTGCCCTTTGTTTATTTTTACTTTTTGAAGTTGTCCGGAACATAACTCGGAAACCAAAAGAGATATCAACAAGAAACTTTGGAAGTTGATAGATAACAGTGATTAGAAGTGCAGTGCAAAGAACAGTAACTCTGCCTTTCCTAATTTTGGAATGATTGCACTTTTAACCTTTTCCAGGAACATAACTCTGAAACTACAAGAGGTGTACTTTCCTGTGTCCAAAACCTATTCGGTGAGCATTGTTACCTTAGTGGAGCATCTTAAAAGTCTGTATTCATATCATATTTTCTTCTTTTCCTAGATTCACCAATGTTGTAGCGAAATGGCCTGGTTCGACACATGATAATATCATATTTGAAAACTGTGGGCTTAAACAGTGGATAGAAAATGGAATCCCTGGCTGGTTGATAGGAGATTCAGGTTATGCACTCAAAAGTTACATGCTAACACCAAAGGTACAATTTCTCTATCATGAAATTCATATATCTTTGCTAAACTGTGAGATAAGAAACAGCAAACAAGTTTAGTTTAAACATATCTGTTTAATCTAATATTATTTCCAAAATTAGATAAATAATAATAATATAACATTAAATTAGTACATGTACATACTCATTCAAATGAAAAAAGTAGTTATTATGTCATGGTCCTTCATATTCTGAAATATTAAATGTATCACAACAGAGTATAATTTTCAGTTATTTATGTATCGGCTCTATATTTCAACAATTAATTTATCATTTATTTCTAGATACAAGCTAATCTAGGAAATTGTGATTTGTTAAATATATTAAGTTGTTTTAAAAATGTTATGTCTTTCCCTTTAAACAGGATTAAACAGGTGAAAAATGAAAATTCAAAAAGTCTTAATTAACATGTCATTGTAAGAAATGTAAAATATCATAATCACAACTATAAATTCAACATTTATGGAAAAAAACCTTTTGTTATATATATCTAATGCAGATTAATCCATCTACCAGACAAGAGGTCTCATTTAATAATGCACACAGCAGAACACGAATGGTGGTTGAGAGAGCCTTTGGTATATTGAAAAGTCGTTTTCGGTAGGTCATTAATTTGTATATTTGTTACTATACACTTAAATGTAATAATGTTTTTAACACCTTATCACTTAACATTATAAAAACTTAATAGTCTATTAAATTTAAACAGTAATATCTTGCTTTATGCTATATGCATATGATAACATAACTATTTTTATTACTACAAGTTTAATTCTAGCAATTCATTATCTTGTTTGTTTTTTCTTTTAGTTTAAAACAAAAGTTTTGATTTGTAACAATTTAGAAGAATGTAAGTAATAATGTGATGTATGTAAATAAACTGTAACATACACACCATTGAGAAATATCTGAGATGTTATACTATACTAAAATTTCATTAAACTAAAATAAAATAGACAATTGCTTTATTTAT